GGTGGGGGGGGGTGGGGGGGATGGGGGTGATTGTGATTGTGGTGGTGATGATCATGGGCATGGTGGTGGTGATGATCATGGGCATGGTGGCGGTGATGATCATGGGCATGGTGGTGGTGATGATCATGGGCATGGTGGCGGTGATGATCATGGGCATGGTGGCAGTGATGATCATGGGCATGGTGGTGGTGATGATCATGGGCATGGTGGTGGTGATGATCATGGTAATGACGATGGAGATGGTGTTGGTGGCGAGTCAGCGCCTGTAACTGGCCATTAGGGCCAGATCGGGACCATGACATCCCTGCGGCCTGACACCAGAAGTTGCTTCAACTTGTCCGGACCAGGTACCGCAGCCTCGAATCGCACTCTCCCTCCCCTCCCCTCCGCCCCTCCCCCCCCCCCCCCCCTCCCCCAACCTCCGCCCACCCCACCAACTACAACCACAGAAAGAGGAACCACAGAAAGAGGATAGAAGGATACGAGGTGTGGTACAGGCAGGAGGATGCTTGGGTACCAGCGCGAGGCGTTCACAGAGCTCCTGGCCGATGACGGACTGCTGGTCATGGGCGCTGGTCTGGGCATGGATGACATCATCCGGGCCTTCCTCGAGCTGTACTCGGAGCGTGGCACACTGGTCCTGGTCATCGGTGCGCTAGGTGATGATGCGGAGCGGCTGACAGAGCCGCTGATTGGCCGGCTGTCGGGGGCAAAGGCTGCTGCTGCCTCCATGATCATCCTCCCGCGGAGCATGGACGCCAACATGCCCGCCGCCGCCCGGGTGGCTGAGTACCTCCGTGGCGGCGTGTGCTTTGTCACCGGTCGTGTCCTGGTGGTCGACATGCTCAATGGAGTTGTTCCGCTAGATCTGGTCTCGGGCATCCTCGTTCTCCACGCGCATCGCATCGTCAAGACCCCGATGGAGGCCTTTGCCCTGCAGCTCTTCCGTGCGGCCAACAAGGTTGGCTTCATCCGGGCCTTCTCGTCGATGCCAGGCTCGCTTGCCGCTGGCCTCAACAAGGTGGAGAAGGCCATGAAGCTGCTGTATGTCAAACAGCTCTTCCTCTGGCCGCGGTTCCGGCTCCTGGTCAAAGACGCCCTTGAGGAGGATCCTCCGCAGGTCATCGAGCTGCGGCAGCCGCTCTCGGCCGGCATGGCCGACGTGCTCGATGCGGTGCTGGCGGTGGTCCAAGCCCTCCTCGACGAGCTCAAGCGCGAGAACGCGCTCGACGCCACCGAGCTCACGCTCGAGTCGGCGCTGCTCGGCTCGTTCGACTCGGTCATCCGGCGACAGCTCGATCCGGTCTGGCACTCGACGTCGGAGAAGACGCGGGCCATGGTGGCCGACTTGCGGACGCTGCGGAACCTGCTCGAGGTGCTCAACGTGTACGACTGTGTCTCTTTTGCCCGCTACGTCTCCTCGCTCCGCGCCTCGGATGGCTACCTCGGCCAGCCGGCCATCTGGCTCTTCCTCGAGGCTGCGGACAAGCTCTTCACCGCCGCGCGTCGGCGAGTGTACTCCAAGCTTCCACCGCCCAAGGACGCGCCGTCACCGGCGCCGCGCATTGTGCCGGTCCTGGAGCCGAACCCCAAGTGGGGCCTCCTCACCTCGCTCCTCGACGAGATCGCCGAGCTCGTTGCCGACGCCGCCGGCGCTGGCCTGGTCGGCGACCTCGGTTCCGGCGACCTCTCATGGTCGTGTCTCGTCTTTGTCCGCGACACTCGTGTCGCCTGCCAGCTCGGCGAGGTCATCCGCGATGGGCCCGAGGCCATGCTCACCCGCAAGTACGCACAGTTTATGGATGAGATGGAGAGCGGCGGCGCGCCGGCGGTGGCGTCGGGTGCGGCCTTGCGCGGCGGCTTTGGCATCCGCGCCAACACCTTTGCCGGTGGCAACGCCGCAGACTACATCCGCTCTAATCAGCTCCGCAAGGTCGCCGTGGCCAAGCGGACGCGGTCGGCCGCGACGCTGGCAGCCAAGGCCGGAAAAGTTGCCGCGGCAGCGGCGGCAGCCGGCACGTCCAGCCGCAAGGCCAAGCCCGCGGCGGCCTCCAAGGGCACCAAGCCCGGCTTGGCGCTGTTTGTGCCCGAAGGCGGCGGTGAGGAACGCAGCGCAGATGCGCGTCTCGAGCTCGAGCTCGCCGATGAGAAGCTCCGGCCGCAGCCGGAGGATGCGCTGGAGGACCTCCATCACGCTGAGTTTGAGGCGCATTTTGGCCTTGAAGAGTCGCCACTGGTTCTCATCCGCGAGATGGACTCTCCGCTCCGCGTGCTGCGCGAGACCCAGCCGACGTTTGTCGTGCTGTACGACTATGACATTGCGGCCGTGCGCGCGCTCGAGGTGTACAAAGCCGAACGGCCGCAGCTCCCGCTGCGGGTCTACATCCTGTTCTACGAGAACTCTGTGGAGAAGCAGACATACCTGTCATCACTCAAGCGCGAGCGGGCAGCGTTTGAAAAGCTCATCCGGACCAAGGCCATCATGGTGGTGCCCGATGACCAGGATGGGAAGACCGTGCGCGAGGGCGAGTCGCGGGCGCAGGCGGCGGCATCGGCATCGCTGGCGCGATCATCGCGCCGGTCGTCGATCTTGCCCAAGTCGCTCGCGCAGATGCGGGCGAGCGAAGCGCGGGCCGGCGGGCAAATTGTAGTCGACCTGCGCGAGTTCCGGTCTGCGCTCCCGTGGCTGGTCTACCAGGCCGGGATGCGGGTGGTGCCGGCGACGCTCGAGGTCGGCGACTTTGTGCTCTCGCCGGACGTGGCTGTGGAGCGCAAGTCGATTCCGGACCTGTACTCGTCGTTCAAGTCTGGGCGGCTTTACACGCAGGCGCAGGCCATGTCGCGGTTCTACGCGCACCCTGTGCTCCTCATCGAGTTTACCGACGATCGCGTGTTCTCGCTCCAGGCGCGGACGGACATTCCACACGACATCCACGTCTCCAACATCATCTCCAAGCTCGCGCTCCTCATTCTGCACTTTCCGCGGCTCCGCATCGCGTGGGCGCGCAATCCACACCACTCGGCAGCCATGTTTGCGGCGATCAAGCGGCACCGGACTGAGCCCGACGCGGCGATTGCCACGGCGGTGGGCACCGACCCGAGCGCGCTGAGCGCCGAGGCCGAGGCTGCCGCGTACGACCACGAGGCGCGAACGATTCTGGAAAAGCTGCCCGGAATCACGCAGCACAACATCCAGCACGTGATGAGCTCTGTTGAGTCGCTAGCAGAGCTCGCGCGCAAGAGCCGCACCGAGCTCGAGGCGCTGATGGGCAAGGCCAATGGCGACAAGCTGTACAAGTTTATGCACACGGTGGCCCAGCCCGAGGCGGCGAGCCTTGAGCCCAACGCACGGGTGACGGCGGCGGCGCGACGGCGGACGCGAAAGCGGCGGATCTCGGCCAAGGCCGCTTCTTGGGCTGGCAAGCCGGCCAAGTCGGCCAAGCGTGGGTGAGAGTGTCATGCGTTGTCGGGTGCGCGCTGGAGCGCCTCACCAAAGATGAGATAGCACTTGTCCATGGCAAATCCGCCGGCAAGCATAGGCATGTTCGGAGTGAGGAGCGCGAGTGAGTTGCGGAGCTTGCGCGAGTTGTCCGACGCCGAGGCGGGTGCGGATGCAGAAGCGCTGGCGGTGGTGGCGGTGGCGGTAGAGTCGGGCGCAGGCTGGCGGGCGTCGGCGTCGGTATCTTGGTCCGAGCCTGTCGACGAGACCACAAGCTGGCGGACCATGCGGTCGGCCGGCGAGGGTGCAGCGTCAAGTGAAGACGACTTGAGCTTGGAGAGATTGACAGGGGCGAAGACCATGGGGTAGAACGGGTGCTGGATGAGGGTCTCGTTGGTGGTGCAGGCGCGATGGACAAAGCCCTTACCTGAGGCGCGGAAGTAGGTTTCCAGCGGCTGAGGACGGACGCACGAGTTCTGATGGGCGCGGCGGGAGCGGGCCATCGGCCGCTTCAGCAGGTACCGCGGACGCGACGAGCGGCCGGCGCGGTGGCGGCTGGAGCGGCCAGAGCGGCCAGAGTCGGCTGCGGTCCGCCCGCGCGAGGTTTTGCGGTACTTGCTCTTCCGCTGGCGGCGGCCAGCAGCGTAGAACCCGGTACCGTCGTCGTGCTGGCGATCGTCGTCGTCGTCCGATCCAGCGTCGTCGTCGTCGTCATTGCCGGCCTGCCGGCTGCGGCCGCTGCCAACCTCGTTGCGGCTGCCGTTACCGTCGTCGTGCCCGTGGTCGTCGTCGCCGCCGTCGTCGCCAGAGCCACGGCCGCGGTCGGAGCGGTCGTCGCCAGAGCGCTTGTCGGTCGACCGCGAGCGGCGCGAGCGGCGCGAGGACGATCGCTTGCGCTTGCGCGAGGGCAGCGGGCGCGAGTTTGAGCGCGAGCGCGAGCGCTGCGAAGCCGAGCCATCTGACGACTGATCGTCGTCGTCGGCTTTGACTTTGACCTTGCCGTTGCCGCGGCGAGAGCCCGGGCCCGAGGCCACATCCATAGGCTGCGGCTTTGCGCCTCGGCGGGCGGTATCGCTCTTGGCTCCGCGGCTATGCTTGGGCTCGTCGCCATCGTCGTTGCCATCACTCTCATCTTCGTCGTCATCGTTGTCGTCATCGTCTGACGACGAGGCCTCGGCGAGACGCTGCAGCTCGCGGGCACGAGCGCGGTCGGCGCGCGACATGGGCTGGGTCTCGGAGGCGTGTGGAGACTGGCTCTGCTGCTGCGACGGCGACTTGCGGGTTTTTCCGGCGGTAGCCCGCTTTCCCTTGTCGGCCTGCGGTGAATCGCGGGCGGAGGAGCGCGAGCCTCTGCGGGCGGTGGCCGGCTTGGATGCGGAAGACTGCGACTTGCGTGCTCCGCTGCCGCGCTTGGCAGGCTTGCGAGCCTGATTCGCCTGCGACTTGCCTGTGGCAGCACCGCCACGGCCGCGGGAGCGTGTCTGGCGCGGGATGGGTAGCGATGACGAGGAGTCTGAAGCCGAGTCGGACAAGTCTTCAGCGGCACGGCCCCACGTTGGTCGCCACCCTCGTCCTCCTCGTCGCCGACCTCGTTGTCTGATTCCTCAGACTCTGACGCTTTGCGTGAGCGAGAGCGCTTCTTTGCCAAAGACGACGACAGCTTCTTCTTTGTCTTGCTGGCCGAGGCGTGCTTGCGGGTAGCAGCCGAGCGAGCCGAGGACTGAGCCGAGCGCGAGCGACGAGCCGAGCGGCTTGACGAAGACTCTGTGGCGTCGTCGTCGTCGTCGTCATTGGCCTTGGCTCTGTCCGCCTTGGCCTTGTTGGACCTGCTCCCCTTGTTGTTGGCTTGACTCCGACTGGGCTGCGCAGCATTCCGTGCGGCGCGTCTGGAGCGGGTAGCACGAGCGCGGGAGCCGTGCTCAGCGCCGCCCATGATTTGCGACTCTATGAATGAGACAGCCACAGCATGAGAGCAGAGAGAGAAGGTAGTGTTGTCTGTGGTGGTCTGGAGGTCAGAGTCGTAGGCAAGGAGTGCCTCCAGCTCGTCATGGCTGGCATAGCGGACAACACCTAGGTCGGCAAAATGGGCTTCCACCTGGGGCTCGCCTAGCTGGACACGGGCAGCGACCTGGACTACAGGGCTCCACTCGCCTCCTTCCGAGTCGTGTAGCACGCAGATGGCAGACCCGTGTCGGGGGTCTGCTCCCACGCGCATGGTTGGTCTGGGTGGGGTAGGGGGGGTGGGGTGGGGGTGGGGGTGGGGTGGAGGGGGGGGA